GTCAATGGCTATGTGTTGTTTATTTTCACTGAAGAAGAGTCTGTAAGTCTACTGGTGGCTTTTTTCAGGGATAAGCTATATCCATAGCTTGTGGCACAAGAGCAGGGCGTTTAAAGAACTACCTGAGAAACAGCAATAGCACTGAGACTTATATACTGCTTCACGGTGCTTTACAGCCCTCTCTAAGAGGTTTACAGAGTCAGCCTCTTGCCCCCCCCAACAAAATCTGGGTCCTCCTTTTACCCACTTTGGAAGGACGGAAGGCTGAGTCAACCTTGAGTCTGGTGGGATTTGAACTGCCAAATTGCAGGCAGCCGGCAGTCAGCAGAAGTAGCCTGCAGTACTGCACTCTGACCATTGCGCCACCATGGCTCGGAAATAACTCCAAGGTCAGGGGTCTATCAGGAATTGCATTTGATGCGCCTTTGAGGTGCTTGATGTGAGAAAAATAAATAGGGAATCGTCACAGGAGTCCCATACAGCGGGGGTCCCCAATCCCCCAGAAGCCAAGGACCGTTCCGCTCCGTGACTTGTTAGGAACTGGGCCTCAGAGCTGGAGGGGAGCAGCGAGTATTTGCAGCTGCTCCCCAGCGCTAAAATCAGCTCCCCTTCAGATCATCAGGCATTAGATTCTTATAGGACCCTTTATGCAAAGGGATCTAGGTTGCATGCTCCCCTCTCCCCCATCCTCCTTTTGTGGAAAAATTGTCTTCCACGAAACCCTGGTGCCAAACAGATTGGGAACTGCTGCCACCGATGGCCAAATAAATCAAGGCCAAATTCTCAACCCAAACCAGAGGCCTGTTCATTTTAGATTACAAATCCGCTAACTGCCCTGACTGATACTGGTCACCTCAGAACTTTCATCACCCTTCGGGCCAAGGATGGACAGGCAGATGAACATGCACGCATGCGGAAGAAATGGGGGATGTTTTAAAATGAAAGGCCAAGGAGCTAAGTGGGGAAAAACAAACTAAAGACTGCGAGAGTTGTTGTTTGAATTGCAATCACCTGCTTCAAAGGAAAGCAAGTGGTGTTACTCAAACACCGTAGTTTTCTCGGTCCCAGGGTGGATAATTGAAATCTGGCCCAAGGGGTAAGTCAGAATCATGGGATGGGATGGGATGGGAGAGGAAAGAGTTCCCCTCACCCACACTGATATCCTGCTGTCTCATCCCATTTAGACAGAAGATGGGGCTGTTCACTGTCCATCTTCAAGAAGAAAGACCTCAGCCAAAACAGCTGGTATAGTGACAGGGAAACTTGACAAGCCGTATTGAGTTTGGGGTTCAAAACTCCCCATGATCAACCTCTTTTCTTCATCGCCACATCCGAAACTCTAAAATTCCCCATCTGGCAAAATAAGCCAAATATTATTGTCGCTGCTACCATCCCCAAATTCCTGGGACAGAATGTTTCCAATGCAGGAGCTCCAAGAATGTAAAGCTTTGAAAAATCAATACATTCTAGCATTATGCAGTTTTGAACTACTGGGAATTATTGTTGGAATGGAAACTCAATTAGAACCCAAAAGGCACTCTTTTCAGAACCCCCCCCCCCCCCCAAAAAAAAAGAAACTCTTATGCTAGGTACTTTTTAACAAGTCAAACTCTGGTGTAGTTCAAAACTGCTCTCTTCTCCACTAGCTGCCCAGAGCTAGAAAAACCTGGTTATATGGATCCACATTTGGGGATCCACTTTAGACAACAGATAAGGAATTCTGGGACAAAAAGCAGGACTACGCTATTCTCACAATACAGATCCCTAGCATTGGAAATGCCCAAATCCTTCACGACACCATTGCAAAACTGCTAACAACACGCACTTTTTACCAATAAAGGGTAGGAAAAGTATATCTGCTTAAAGAAAAACCTGGATAGTTCAACCACTTTGGGGACAAACCGAGATGCCTTCATTCTTTCCAAATACTTGGCCGCTGTCTCTTTTGACGAAAAGAGGGAAGCCGCAGACCAGTGCAAATCCGGGCACCAACCTCCCTGACACCTTGCCCTAAGGAGGCCACTTCTTAACTATCTGCCCACTCGAATAATTTCACTTTGTTTTGGCCAAGCACAGCCTAGTCTGATTCACTCCCCCTTGCACGTGAACCAGAGAGAGTGACTCACCACAAGTTGAGCATTTTCAGGCAGCTACAACAGACAGTGAGAGGAGAAAGAAAGGAAAGAAAGAAAGACAAATAAAAACACAGAAAGGAAAGAAGGAAACATTAGCTCGGAGTATGATGGAAGCAAGTCACGGCAGTTCATGCATTGCGTGCATTGCGGATCTGAGGGTCCTCACCAGCTCCACCTATTTTCTCAGATGGGGTTCCTCTACCTAACCCTCCTGCACTTCCTGAGGAAGAGAGACCACGATGGGCGGTTTCTGAGACAGACAAAAAGAAGCATTGGCAATAGCCCAAGGTCCAATAGGATCATAAGCAGGATAAATGTGTTCAGTGAGACCCTGGCAAATGGGAGCGGGAAGGTTTTTAAACTGCTAGGCTGGAATATATTCTTGGAAAAGAAAACCCTAAAGAGACTGCCTAGGAAGGCCCAGATGCAAACACCTTAATGCTTTGATGGACCATTAACATAACAGCACTACGACATAAGACTGATCGCTAAGAATAAAGATACAACTTTTGCGTTCGGTAAGAAGAGGCTTCTGGGAAAGCTGTCAATGAGTGGTTTTAAAGAGGAGGATGACCTGGCAAAAATCAAAGATGAAACTGGATTCCCAGCTAATTCAAGCTGTTACGAGGGATGGCTGATCGAGAAACGTCTTGGAAATAATCATTGCCTGAGATAACTGAGGGGAAACCTTGGAAGTACCATTTCCACGGAAAGTTTGGTTCAGAGGGACCACGGTGCCCCGAAGATCAATTGTGATTTCCAGAGAACATTAACATTTCCCTAACTTCCACGTCCATTGCAGATTTCAATTCTGAGCTGCAAATATCCACAGTGATATAGAAAATGAACTTTTTTCTTAGTTGTTTTGCAATCCAGATCAGACAAGCCCAGTTTCTTCCACCCGAGAGGAAAACTTCTCTTATGAAACTGGAGCAGGACGCAATGTTTTCACAGACATGCAATCCTAGATCCAATTACTTGGGAATAAAAAGATTCTCTGAACTAAGTGGGATTTGCTCCAAGTCAGCTTCCAGAGATAGGATAGGATAGGATAGGATAAGATAGAATAGAATAGAATAGAATAGAATAGAATAGAATAGAATAGAAT